AATATCCTCTACATATTATATTAGGAAGTAATACATTCTTTATCACATATTAATCTGTATAGTGTCATGGTGTCATATTTTGTATAACAAAAATAAATTCATTGAAATCATTTAGTGAATCGCTAACTTTAAGATATCAAAGCAAAGACTATTTTCCCATTCCTAGAAAACCAAATTTATGATAAATTTTCCTTAATTTTTCAAGTAGGGCCCATTTTGGTGGATTCTTTTCTATGACGGAATACATTATGTTTTTATAAATAATGATAACATCATAAAATCACAGTATATAAAACGTCAACTTCATGACGTTATGGGTTTTTACTGAATAACAATACCAGATTTAAACACCTGTAAAAAGAAAACGGGAAAAGATATCATCAAAAAATAAATCGTTTAATTTTTTATAATCTACAAATTCTTGCGTATTATCTGAGAAAGTTTTGTCCATTTTCGTGACAGGGTGGATTTTGATACTTCGTGGCTCTTGTTCTCTAAGTTGACGTGTTGGTTGTCCAAGCAAGCAAATATTACTTAATTAGATGGCGGTATTAAAATTATATATATGTATCTACTATATACATAGTTAGCATGGTGTTAAAATAATTGATAATTATGCTATGCACTTCAAATAATCTTCTTAAATTAACAAGAGGCCCATGGGCCACATTGCTCACCTGAGCACATTGGCTAGGCAAAAGCACAAATCAGTTCAGTATTGAAAAAATTACCGGGGGGGGGGGGGGGGGGGGGGGGGCGGGCCTTGAATTTTAAACTTTCTGATGATGCTTTCATGTCAACATGTCAATATAACAAATGGATTTGTTTGTTGTACTTGGAAGATTTTTAAAAATTCTGCCTATATATTCCTTCATAAAAATTTGATCCCCCATTGTGGCTCCTCCCTATCCCAAGGGTCATCATTTGAACAAACTTGAATCTACACTACCTGAGGATGCTTCCATACCAATATGACTAAACATAGTTTTTCTGTTCTTGATAAGAAATTTTTTTTTCCTATATATTTCAATGTAAAACTTTTATCGTCCATTGTTGCCCCGCCCTACCCCCGGGGTCATCATTTGAACAAACTTGAATCTACACTACCTGAGGATGCTTCCATATTAAAATGACTAATTTAAAACAGGTCAACAGGATAATCTGTTCTTGAGTATAGATATTTTCCTATATATTCCTATGTAAAATTTTCGATCCCCCATTGTTGCCCGACCCTATCCCCGGGGGTCATCATTTTAACAAACTTGAATCTACACTACCTGAGGATGCTTCCATATCAGAATCACTAATCATGGCTTTGCAGTTCTTAAGAAGAAGATATTTTCCTATACATTCCTATGTAAGACTGATCTCCCATTGTGGCCCCACCCTACCCCTGGGGGTCATGATTTGAACAAATTTGAATCTGAAGATACTTCCATATAAATATGACCAATCAGGGCTTTGCTGTTCCTGAGAAGAAGATTTTTAAAGATTTTTCCTATATATTTCTATGTAAAACTTTTATCGTCCATTGTGGCCCCACCCTAGCCCCGGGGGTCATGATTTGAACAAACTTGAATCTACATTACCTGAGGATGCTTCCATATAAATATGACTCATCATGACTTTGCTGTTCCTGAGAAGAAGATTTTAAAAGATTTTCCTATATATTTATATGTAAACTTTTATCGTCCATTGTGGCCCCGCCCTAGCCCCGGGGGTCATGATTTGAATAAACTTGAATCTACATTACCTGAGGATGCTTCCTTATAAATATGACTCATAATGGCTTTGCTGTTCCTGAGAAGAAGATTTTAAACCATTTTTCCTACATATTTTTATGTAAACTTTTGATCCTCAATTGTGGCTCTGCCCTACCCCGGGGGTCATGATTTGAACAACTTGAATCTACACTACCTAAGGATGTTTCCACATGAGTTTCATCTTTCCTGGCCCTGTGGTTCTTGAGAATAAGATTTTCAAAAGATGCTATTAATTTTTCACTAATTCTTAATTATCTTCCCTTGGAAGAGGGCATGGCCCTTAATTTGAAAAAACTTGAATCCCCTTTACCCAAGGATACTTTGTGGCAAGTTTGGTTGAAATTGGCCTAGTAGAAGTAAAAAATGTGAAAAGTTTACAGACAGAAAATGGACAAAATGTGATCAGAAAAGCTCACTAGAGCCTTCGGCTCAGGTGAGCTAAAAAATAAAGTAATGTTCAAAAAGTATCTATATTTACATGTATTTAAAATCTAAAACACTAAATGATCTATAAAACTCAGTAACACATTTATGTACTTGGAGCGAAACATCGCAGCACGAACCATCTTAGGGCGAAACAGAATCGCCGCGAAACATTGTACAGCGAACCATGCATGGGCGCGAAACATCCCTTCACCCATTATTGAGTCTATAATGGGAATTTTTAAACACAAACAAAAAATATGTATAAGGACATGCAGCTCTTCAAATAATCAGAAAATAATAGTGTTTAGAATTCTTACAGCATTTTTTCATATTTCACAATGTATATGGACTAGATAAATTACGCACTTTTCAAGACAACTTCAAGGACAAAACGCACTTGGGAAAAAATTCTGTCAATAAATATTTTAAAATTAACAATTGAACTGAGGTCCTTCTTCATAGTAATTAATTGTAGCGATATCGTAAGGTGAAGCTTACCTCATTATCACACAGGACGTAGTTGAACAAGACATATAAAGCATGGTAAAAATGCTTCATGTTTACATTTTCCGAGTACAGGAAAACAACTGTGACATCACAAGAAAACTTACACAAGCGAAGTGGAATATTAATTCAGATAATCTCTGCTACCAAACACGTAAAAATTAAAATTGTAATCCCTGCTTCCAAAAATTTATCACGATACATTGACTGTAATCTGTTTTAATGTTTTATAAAACTGACCAGGTAATCAATGTGTACTTGATCTCACTGCACTGAGAGATCATATATGATGTCATGGACAAGTTAGACTGCAGCTTAAAGAAACAGGGGTGGATCAATTGATTTCACAATCTTTAAATATTCACATGATCGTTTAAAATTCTTAAATATTTTACATAAAATGTTTAAGCTCAAGAGTTGAACAAAAATTACACAAATACAGGTGATTATAACAACGTTTAACACCAACATTAACGGTGACTATGACATAGTCAATTGAGTCATGTGACATGTGTCCTGTCTCCCCATAAGTCAATGTTTTATTATTAGTTTCTTAAGAGTTGACTTTATTTTGGCAGGGGTTATCTATGTTACTGTCTGGGATGGGAGCTCAAAAGCACAAAACAAGTCCTGTCATATTAAATTAAAACCTATAATACCCTTGAGCACACATTCCTTTTTAACAATAGGTGGTTGTTGCAGGAAATACACACTTAATTATATCTCTCTTTGACCAGTAGAGCTGCATTTAAGGTATACAAAGGTAATCCAAGAAATTCGCAGAATTTTCTACCCAAGGATTGAACAGAAATTGTGATTCTGCAGAATTTTGACTGTGGAAAAAGAGCACATTTACAGTATCTTAAAGCAGAGAAAATATTCCTATATATGATTATAACAGAGACCCATCCTAACTCCAGAACCCCTGTCTCAGAGGCCATGAATTTTATAATTTTGGAGAAATCACTCTTTCTCATCATAACCATGAACTTTGTTTCTCTACTAAATACTCAAAACATAAAGAAGATGATTTTCAAAGAATTATTGTGATGCCCTGACTCCAGAAACCCTGACCCTACATCCATAAATTTTAGAATTTTGGAAAAGGCACCCTTGCTCATCGTAACTATAGAGTTTGTCTGCTTAATACCTAGGAGCAGAGATGAAGATTTTCTAAGAATTTATGCATTTTGACTACATGGATCCCTGCCCTAAATTCAAAATCCTTTAACCAGCATCCATGAATTTTACAATTTTGGAAAAGGCACCCTTGATCATCATAATTACACTTTTAGTTTCTCTGCTAAATACTCAAGATGCAGAGAAGATTTTCTAAGAATTATCATAATGTATTTTCACTATGATATATATGATCAATACCGCTCTGCCGGTAATGCATTTTCACTATAATATATATGATCAATACTCCGCCCTTACTCCAGAATCCCTGTCCTAGGGGCCATAAACTTGACAATTTTGAAAGAGGCACCCTTGAATATCATAAAAGTGCACTTAATTTGTCTGCTTAATACCCAGGAGTAGAAAAGAAGATTTTCAGAGAATTTAATGCTTTATATCTATATGATCAATAGAGCTCAGTCTTAAATCCAGAACCCCTGACCCAAGGGCCATGAATTTCACAGTTTTTGATGAAAAGCTTTTGCTTATCATAGTCATGCACTTAGTTTGTATTCTAAATACCAAGGCACAGAGAAGATTTTCAAAGAATTATTGCATTTTAACTAAGTGACTAATACAGCCCCACTCCAACACCATAACCCCTGACCCAGGGGACACAAATTACAAAATTTGGAAAGAGGCACTCTTGCTCATCATATCTATGTACTTAGTTTGTCTGTTAAATATAAATGGAAAGATTTTTGAAAAATTTATTCATTTCACTACTTGATCTATGAAGCCCCAACCTAACACCAGAACCCCTGTCCCTGGGACCATGGATTTCATAATTTCGGTAGAGGGCTCAATGCTTATTACAATCATGTCAACAGTTTGACTGCTTGATGTACAGGAGTAAAGAAGTTTTTTAAACATTGCATACATTCTGATAGTTTTAGAACCACCACTCAGGCTCAAGGAGGGGAGGGATCATGAAAATTTTGTTCCCTTTAACACATACATGCTTCTTGCAAAAATTGGTTGAAATTAGTTCTGTGGTTCCAGAGAAGAAGTGAAAATGTTCTAATGTTAATGCACAACAAACAACAACAGATGTTAAACAGATATCATAAGGTCTCATGAATGACTCAAGTGACCTAAACATTGTGGAGATTATTCAGAATACCCTACCTTCCATATCTTGACTTATCAGAATTGTCAGACTTAATGGACTGATAGGACATACACTCCACATCCTCTTTAAAGGAACCATGTACAGGTATTCCTGAAATAAAGATTTAACAAGCTTATATGTTTAATTAAAAATTTTGAAAACAAGAGGCTCATAGACCACAAGTGATGTCACATTTCAAAGTTATAATGGATTCGGCCACACCCCAGGGAGAAAGAAATCTTGAAATAATTATTTTGTTCATCATAGATGCTATATACCGAAACTGGTAAATTAAGTTCAGCTGTTGAAGAAAGCTGAAAATGTCCAAAAATTTACAACCAGCACATGATGGTACACAAAAAAGGATAGCAATGGGTCATCTGAATGATGTAGGTGACTTTAAAGAAGAAACAATATTTTTTTGCAATTATTGGGTTGGGGGGGGGGGGGGGATAGCTAGCCTAGAAAATTTAAATTACTGTTTTCAGTAAGTGCTAATTCCACATGATTGGTGTAGAAATTTGACATGTCCTTCTATATGATGTCACAATAGGTGATAAATGTTGGACATCCAAAAGCCATGCAAAGTGCAAAACAGTTATTATTTATGTGCGACTTTAATGCATAATTTTGGTTCTTTAGGAATCACAGACCATTACTGTCTTCCAGATTCTCTTCATCACAGTCATAGAATTCATCCTCATCTGTATCGTAGTACCGTTGTGTAGATGGTTTTCTCACAGCTATGGATTGCTCTAGTTCATGATGCTCTGTGGCCAGTGCATGAAGTGCCTCCTGAAGGACACGAGATTTCTCCAGTTCCTCCTTCAACTGGAGGGCTCTAACCTAAATTAAAGCAAATTTTCCTTTAACATAAGATATACAAAACTCTGAAATCTAAGCCTCAATTACATATTGTGAGGATTTTAGCATAACATTTACTTTTGCACAAAGCAAATAATGTGACCTAAAATAAGCCAGAAGCTTTCAAAGCTTTTAATAATTTCAATCTATATTATGACTAGAGGCACTGTGAGCAATGACCTTACAAAATGATACCATCTGTCCAATTAAAATGTAAATAGGAGGTGCACAATGACACTATGTAATACCGATTCTGAGAAAGTCTAATAAAATTTTATTCAGTGCTATAGAAGCATAGGTGTTGGAAGCAAATTGAAAGTGGGGGGGGGGGGGGCTAATTGAAAGTGGGGGGGGGGGGGGGGGGCAAACCAGCGAAAAAAGGTAAGCCCCAATTTTCAATGCCTATATTATGTCTATCTTTGCAAAAAAAGTTTAGCCCCCCCCCCAGCACCCCGGTTCAGACGCCTATGAGAAGAGATGGGTATATAACCCAAATATTATAGAAAGAATGTTTGCTATAGGAAACCTCAAATATATGTCTCAGCAAAATGTAAAATAGCAGGTGCACAATAACACTATGTAAATCAATGAAAGTTTCATTTAATCTTATTCAGTGGTATATGTGGCAAATCACAATCACCGTGAAATCGTCTTTATCATTTATTATGACAATTAAAGGTAATTAACAAATCCACAAGGGTTAACAATCACAATACCACATTGGCTAAGATATTCAGAATGTTTTCTGAAATATTCTCAAGTGAAAAGTACTCAATATATTTCAATTAAAGGTAATTAACAAATCCAGAAGGGTTAACAATCACAATACCACATTGGCTAAGATATTCAGAATATTTTCTGAAATATTCTCAAGTGAAAAGTACTCAATATATTTCAATCTTATTATGCCCCCATAATCGAAGATTCGGGGGCATATAGTTTTTGCCCTGTCCATCCATCTGTCTGTCTGTCTGTCTGTCTGTTTGTCCGCAAAAACTTTAACCTTGCCCATAACTTTTGATTGGTTGGAGCTATGGCTTTCATATTTCACACGTGTATTCCTTGTGACAAGACCTTTCTTTGGGTACCATAAAATTTGATATTTTGACCTTGACCTTGGAGTTTGACCCACTTTTGCTAAATTTTTTCAAACTTTAACCTTGACCATAACACATAACACTATGCTATTCAATGAAAGTTTCATTTAATCTTATTCAGTGGTATATGTGGCAAATCACAATCACATGGAAATCGTCTTTATCATTTATTATGGCAACTAAAAAACGTTAACCTTGGCCATAACTTTTGAACTGTTGGTGCTAGGGCTTTCATACTTCACATGTGTAATCCTTGTGACAAGACCTTCCTTTGGATACCAACAACTTTGACCCTTTGACCTTGACCTTGGAGTTTGACCTACTTTTGCAAAACTTTCACCTTGGCCATAAATTTTGAATGATTAGTGCTAGGGCTTTCATACCTCACATATGTAATCCTTATGGCAAGGTCTTCCTTTGGATACCATCAACTTTGACCCTTTGACCTTGACCTTGGAGTTTGACCTGCTTTTGCAAAACTTTAACCTTGGCCATAACTTTTGATTAGTTGGTGCTAGGGTTTTCAAACTTCACATGTGTATACCTTGTGACAAGACCTTCCTTTGGATACCAACAACTTTCACCCTTTGACCTTGACCTTAGAGTTGGACCTACTTTTGAAAAAACCTTAACCTTGGCCCTAACTTTTGAACTGTTGGTGCTAGGGCTTTCATACTTCACATGTGTAGTCCTTGTGACAAGACCTTCCTTTGGATACCAAAAACTTTGACCCTTTGACCTTGACCTTGGAGTTTGACCTACTTTTGTAAAACTTTCACCATGGCCATAAATTTTGAATGATTAGAGCTAGGGCTTACATACTTCACATATGTAATCCTTATGGCAAGGTCTTCCTTTGGATACCATCAACTTTGACCCTTTGACCTTGACCTTGGAGTTTGACCTACTTTTGCAAAACTTTAACCTTGGCCATTACTTTTGAATGGTTGGTGCTAGGGCTTTCATTATTCACATATGTAATCCTTGTGACAGACCTTCCTTTGGATACCAACAACTTTCACCCTTTGACCTTGACCTTGGAGTTTGACCTATTTTTGCAAAATTTTAACCTTGGCCATAACTTTTGAAAAGTTACTGCTAGGGCTTTCATACTTCACATATGTAATTCTTGTGACAAGACCTTACTTTGAATACCAAAAACTTTGACCCTTTGACCTTGATTTTGGAGATTGACCTACTTTTGCAAAACTTTATCCTTGGCTATTACTTTTGAATTGTTGGTGCTAGGGCTTTCATACTTCATATATGTAATCTTTGTGACAAGACTTTAGTTTGGATACCAACATCTTTGACCCTTTGACCTTGGAGTTTGACCTACTTTTGCAAAACTTTAACCTTGGCTATTACTTTTGAATAATTGGTGCTAGGGCTTTCATACTTCACATATGTATCCTTGTGACAAGACCTTCCTTTGGATACCAACAACTTTGACCCTTTGACCTTGGAATTTGACCTACTTTTGAAAAACTTTAACCTTGGCCATAACTTTTGAACAGTTGCTGCTAGGGCTTTCATATTTCACATGTGTATTTCTTGTGAGAAGGCCTTTCCTTGGGCCCCATTAATTTTGACCACTTGAACTTGACCTTGATGTTTGACTTACTTTTGAAAAACTTTAATCTTTTCCATATCTATTCAATGGTTGCTGCTTGGGTTTTCACATTTCACTGGTATATTCCTCGAGACAAGACCTTACTTTGGGTACCAACATATTTGATTTGCACTTGAGAAAGTTTAATCTTTTTTTATGAGTTGCCATACCGAGGCATCAGTGTTTCACAAACACATCTTGTTTTCTCCATGTTTTTATATCACAAAAACTGTCATTTATATACTACAAAGGAAACATCTAGAATAGAGACTTCTGTAAAATTCTTTGTCATCACATTTTGACATATTCTTTGAGAATTCTTGATCATTCATTCATGTAACATGTAGAACATTCTAGATTATACATATTTAAAATCAATTCATTAAATTTCTAAATAAATTCTTGAAATTGCAACTGTTTGCAACAGTATAGGAGGAGTTGCAGATATGAGATGGGTATCCCAGATATTATAGGAAGAATGCATGGCAGTGATATGTTTTGCTATGGAAAAGTCCAAATGCACTAGACAAAACTGTGATGCAGCACCAAAGAAAAATTAATATTTTACTTTTCAAAACTTGTTTAAGATGTATTAAATATGTATTATATATTACTAAAATAAACTAGATTTTTCATAATGCCACGAATGCCCCGCAGGCAGTCAAAATTTCAAATGCCATGCACAAAATGTACATTTATAACTAAGATAATAAATAGAAACTGCAAATTATAAATTGCACATTTGTAGCCGAGATAATGATTAGAAATTGTGAATTTTAAAATCTTTTCCAAGTTCAAGGGGGATAACCGTAAAAAATCATCGGACCAGGACCAAATTCGAACTTGACCTGTATTTTCTGGTAAAATACCTTCATATGCAATTTTAACCTTACACATATATCCCTACAAAAGTAAGAGAGTGGAAACTGAAATTTTTTTTTTCTAAGAGGGATAACTCTGTCAAAAATCATCGGACCATGACTAAATTCAAATTTGACCTGTATTTTCTGGTAAAATACTTGCACATGCAATTTCAACCATATACATACATCCCTACAAAAGTTAGAGAGCCGAAACTGAAAATTCTTTTTTTTTTCCTAAGTTTAAGAGCGATTACACAACAAGAGGTGCAAGGGCCTTAACAGTCACCCAAGTACAATACAACAATTTAGAGGATCCACAAACTGATAAATGAAGCTTTGTTGCCCACAAGAAAAATAGTATGATTAGGATCAACAAAATAATTGGTCCAGTATCTAGCTGTCCCCCATTTATCACTATTATTATGCAGACTATTAACAAAATATCTATTTTTTAACCCCATATTATTACCTCTCACATTAGCCTCTCTTGGCCTTTAAAGAACATTTAAAACGATAAGTTATTTTTGTCTCATTTATATCCATCTATTATTTACAAGTCTATCTGATCATTAAAACTATAAAAGTACTTTTTGTACCATACAATAAATATTCTTGCATAATTCTCTTATTCTATTTACCTTTCAAATACATTATTTTTCAGTGATTAATTATCAAAGGTGAATGGCAAAGCGGAATCACTTCGCTCAGTAGAATACAAATTAATGTAGCCCTGGCCAGGACCAGAACAATTGACCAAATGGTCCAGATGTTCAAAATTCTGGTAAAAATACCCTTGTTTATTAAAACTCTTACTCTGTTTGCCTTCAACATGCCTAAGAGCAGAGAAGATTCTCAAAGAAACAATTCATTTTCACTACAGATTTAATACAGCCCTACCCTAATATCAGAACCATGACCCAGGGTCAAGAAATTAAAAAAATTGGAAGAGGTACCCTCATCATCATAGCTATGCAATTAGTTGAAGATTTTCAAAGAATTGTCACATTTTCGCAATAATATTAATACGTACTTTTATGTGTCATTTTATTTAAAACCTAGAAGCAGAGAAGAAGATTTTTAAAGAATTAATGTATTTTCACTATATAATCAATACAGCCCCAGCCTAACACCAGAACCCCTGACCCTGGGGCCATGAAAGAGGCACTTTTGCTCATCATAACTAATTACTTACTTAGTTTATTTCATACACATGAGCAGAGAAGAAGACTTTCAAAGAATCAATGCATTTTCACTATATAATCAATAAAGCACCGCCCTAACACCAGAATCCCTGACCCAGGGGCCATGAAATTCATAATTTCTTAAGAGGCACTCTTGTTCATCATAACTATGCACTAAATTAGTTTATTTAATACCCAGGAGCAGAGAAGAAGATTTTCAAAGAATAAATGTAGTTTCACTGTATAATCAATAGAGCCCCACCCTAAAACCCCTGACCCAGGGGCCATGAAATTCATAATTTCTGAAGAGGCAACCAAGCTTATCATAAATAGAACTGTCCAAAAGGGACAAATACCCCCCGCAGGGTTTTCAGAGAAGGTGCCAAGTCACTAATACTAGTATTTGATGGATATAAGAGGTGTTCACAATTTGTTTAAACATTTAGAGTGAAAATTTACTGGTAATTGCTCATTAAATTTTTTTAATGAATGAAACTAAGGTGCAGCCTAATAAAACATCAATACTTATAATAACATTTTTTTATTACATTGAAAAAATAAATAACAGTTTTTCAAGTATTTCTCTGTTGGAAATTATGGATGCATTATTTATCCATTTTTTTCTACAGTGACTTTAGGGCAAGATCATGGCACACCCTCAGGTCATAAGCAATCTTTGTGTGAAGTGGAAACTCCCAACATCCCAACATTATTTTCCATAAGAAAGATACAGACCGGACATGAATTATGAACTTTATCTGTCAGTGACCTTGAACTTGCCCAAATGACCTTGTGTCAAGGTCATGACACACCCTCAGGTCATAAGCAATCTTTGTGTAAAATGGGAACTCACCAAGTTTATCCATAAGAAGATATGGACAGGACATGAATTATGAACTTTTCTTTCAGTGACCTTGAACTACCCATATGACCTTGGGTCAAGGTCATGACACATCCTCAGGTCATGAACAATCTTTGTGTAAAATGGGAACTCACCAAGTTTTTCCATAAGAAGATATGGACCGAACATGAATTATGAACTTTTTTTTTCAGTTACCTTGAACTGCTCATATGACCTTGGGTCAAGATCAGGACACACCCTCAGGTCATAAGCAATCTTTGTGTCAAATGGGAACTCACCAAGTTTATCCATAAGAAAGATATGGACGGACATGAATTATGAACTTTTTCTTTCAGTGACCTTGAACTTGCCAAAATGACCATGGGTGAAGGTCACGACACATCCACAGGTCATAAATATTCTTTGTGTGAAGTAAGAGATTCTTATGTTCCTCCATAAGAAAGATATGGACCGGACACGTTTGCACAGACAGACAGATGGATGGACAAGGTGATTCCTATATACCCCCCAAACTTCGTTTGTGGGGGGGGGGGAGGTATAACTATGTACTTAGCTAATTTATTTAACACCCAGGAGCAGAGAAGAAGATTTTCAAAGAATTCATTTATTTTCCCTAAATAATCGATAGAACCCCACCCTAACACCAGAACCCCTGACCCAGGGGCCATGAAATTCAAAATTTCTGAAGAGACAGCCATGTTTATCATAACTATGTACTTCGCTAATTTATTTAATACCCAGAAGCAGAGAAGAAGATTTCCAAAGATTTAATGCATTTTCACTATATATGATCTATAAAGCCCCACCCTAGCACCACAGTCCCTGACCCTGGGGCCATGAAATTCACAAATTTGGTAGAAGGCTCAATGCTTATTACAATCATGCCAACAGTTTGACTGCTTGATGTCCATAAAGAAGAAGATTTTTAAAGATTGCATTAATTTTGGTGGTTTTAGCCCCACCTCTCAGGCCCCAGGGGGGCAGGGACCATGAAATTCATATTTTTGTTCCCCTTGACCTATAGATGCTATATGCCAAAATTGGTTGAAACTGGTGCAGCGGTTTCAGAGAAGAAGCTGAAAATGCATGACGGAAGACAAAAACAGATAGCAATAGGTCATCTGAGTGACTCAGGTGACCTAAAATCATCAGACCATGGCCAAATTCAAACTTGAGCTGTGTATTTCTATGATGTATCCATATGTCATATTTGAGTTGAATGTGTGCAACTATTGTCGAGATAATAAATGGAATGTCAATGATGACAGAATGACGGAACAGAGTAACACTATATGCCCTTGGCCATTTTATGGGGGGGGGGGGGGGGGGCATAAAACTGAATTTATTTTTGTATTTTTATAGGGTACAAATGTCAACTTTTTACAAGACTGTTTCAAAGACTTCAAAGAACCCCAAATCATATTGAGATGCACAAAATGAAAATTGTTGCATGGAAAGTTCAATTTCAAGCTTAATCTTGCGACTTTTTTAATTAAATAACAATTCTAAGAGTTATCCTTCTCTCTGGGGAGCAGATATCCTTGAGTTATTTTATTTAAGTAATTAATACAAATAATGTTTGAGCAATATCATTAAGGATAGAGTTATTGAACTTCTATTGGTGAACATTGGAACTGTCTGCAGTACAGATAATGCATTTGTACAGCCAACTTGTGCCAATATTCACCATTATATGTTCAATAACCCTATAAAATTCAATAAATCTGATTGGTTTGATTTATATCACCTGATTATTAATTTCTTTCAATATTGCTTGAGTTACTAACAAGAGGTACACTAGGCCTTGGTCCCCTGAGTATCATGAGCCTAGAACACTTACTTGATCTTTCGCCTCACTTACAGTTCGGTAAGGATTCTATAATCATCACATGTGTATCATACTCATGCAGCTTGCACTTCATACCCTATCAATACACTTTTCAGTAAAGTCAATGTAGCATAAAAGAGCTATATAAAAATCAGAACAATGCATGCTAATGATCATTACCTCCTCCTGTTGTTGAAAAAGAGTCAGACACTGGCTAAAAGTAATACTCATCTCCCCTGCCATCTGAGAAATTTTCTGTATCTGTGGTATCACCAGTGTGGGACCTCCTGAAACATTCAATAAATCATTGAAACAATTTGGATATTTTTCAATATTTTTTTTAAACCAGAAAATTGAGTCATCTTTACTTTAGGGAAATTCTAAGTTTATCAGACTGTATACTGGTACTTGTACAAGGGTCCTTCAAAAAATTTATACAGTCAAACCTGGTTATCTTCAATTTGACAGGACCTTGATTAGAGATATCTGAGGGAAAAAATGTAAAGACAAGAGGCCCATGGGCCTCAACTCTCATCTAATTTACTATAACCCTTCTGTTCTTTATCTGCCGATTTTTTTCCCAATATATTAAGATAAATGTGAATCTACACTACCTGAAGATGCTTCCATATAAATATAACTACTGGGTATTCATGGCTTTGCTGTTCCTGAGAAGAAGACTTTTAAAGATTTTTCTTCTATATTCCAATGTAAAATTTGGACTGCCCATTGTGGTCCCACCCTACCCCTGGGGGTCTTGATTTGAACAAACTTGAATCTACACTATGTCAGGAAGCTTTCACATAAGTTTCATCTTTTTCTGATCCAGTGATTCTTGAGGAGAAGATATTTTAATAACCCCACCCAAATTTCATTATTTCTTAAATTACCTCCCCTTGGAAGAGGGTGGCCCTTCAATTGAATAAATTTGAATTCCATTCACTGAAGGATACTATGTGCCAAGTTTGGTTGAAATTGGCCAGTGGCTCTGGAGAAGATGAAAATGTGAAAAGTTTATGACACCGACACCAACACCAATGACAATGGACAAATTTTGATCAGAAAAGCTCACTTGAGCCTTCAGCTCAAGTCGCTAAAACCAGAATGAAACCTTTCAAGCAGAATGAGGGATTACTTTGAAAATTCATACGTAGCAAAACATTTTGAAGGACCCTCATAAGACACACCTTGTTGATATAGAATTGAGTTAATCTAGAGCACATCACTCAAAAGAATTTTTATCCTACAAATAGTTTACTTAGGAAAAAGAACAGATAGACAAAGTTCAATGGGATCCCACATTTTCCAGTGACATCATGATGTTATAATCCTTTCTGCGAACAGTGTCGAGCTACCACGATTAACTAAAAGTGTGGTTACCGTTAATGATCTTTAATGTCAAAGTAAGGGTATTTAATTGTGAATATAAAGCCAACTTTGAAGTTTTGGGTTTTTTTTTTTTTTTTGGATATTGCCATAACCATGCTAAAATCTAGAAATAATTGCAAATTATTGTTTTCAGTAACCAAAGGATTTCTGAATTATAAACATACTTGCCAAATCTCATATCAAAGTATTACAATTGTGATACTTTCTAATTAGTAATCTAAACATGTAAATATTGATATTAAATGGAGATTTTTCCCCCTTAAAAAATTGTGACAGCAGGTTGGTGAAAATATAAAGCCTCTCTTGGTCTTGTACAAAGATAAGGTATTTTTTTTCTCATTTTCATTTATCTATTATTGACAAGACTGCATGACCATTAAAAACTACGAATTTCAATGTACTTTTTGTATTAAACATTAAAAATTCTTGTTTATTTCTTTTTTGAAGTTTGACCTATCAATTATTTATAGTAATTATTTATTATACATGTAGATGAATAGCAAGGGGGAATAACTTATGCAATAACTTACGTAGAGTACAAATTTCCCTACCATATCAAAAGACCCCTGCCCAGCACTAGAACACTTGACCCAGTGATCCAGAATTTCACAAATCTGGTAACAACACCCTTGCTTAGTATTCTGTTTGCATCCTTGATACCCAGGAGAAGAGAAGAAGAATTTCAAAGAGTAAATGCATTTTCATTACATAATCAATAGAATCCCTCCTCAACACCAAAACCCCTGATCCAAGAGCTATGAATTTCACAATTTTGGAGGAAGCATCCTTGCTCATCATAACTATGCACTTAGTTTGTTTACTTAATACCAAAGGACAGAGAGGAAGATTTATAAAGAATTTATGCATTTTTACTATATGATCAACAGAGCCCTGCACTAACACCAGAACCTCTGACCCAGGGGCAATAAATTCCACAATTTTGAAAGATATACCCTTGCTCATCTTATTAATGCACTTAGTTTCCCTATCAGAAGGAGCAGAGAAGAATTTCAAAAGAATTTATGCATTTTCACTATACTTTGAATAGAGCCCCACCCCATTACCAAATCCCTAACTCAGGGGCCATAAGTTTCACAATTTCAGAAGAGACAACCCTGCTCATCATCTGCAAAATACCAAAAAGCAGAGAAAATTTTCAAAGAATAAATGCATTTCCACTATATTAATTATCAATAGAGTCCTGCCCTAACACCAAAACCCCCTAACCAAGGGACCACGAATTTCACAATTTTGAAAGAGGCACCCTTGCTTATCATAACCATGAACTTATTTTGTTTGCTCTATACCCAGGAGCAGATAAGATTTTCAAAGAATGTATGCATTTTTACTATATGATCAACAGAGCCCCAGTCCTGACCAAGGACTATGAAGTTCACAATTTTAGTAGAGGGTTCAATGCCAACATTTTGATATCCAGGAGTAAAGAATAAGATTTTTATAGATTGGAGGGGGGGGGGGGGGGGCAGGGATCATGAAATTCACAATTTTTGTTCCCCTCCACTAATAAATGCCATATATGCCAAAACTGGTTAAAATTTGGCACAGAGTTTCCAGAGAAGAAGCTGAAAGAGTTCAAATGTTTACAGACAAGGACAACAACAGAACAACTGTACAAGATTGAACAAGATGTAACAATTCCAAGATACCAGCAAGTTAAATAGAATATTGGATAATTAAAAAGTAACTAGCTTTCCTACTAACCTGGGTTGGTCACAGCACTGGTTAGTTCTACCATCTCTTTTTCCAACAGTTTCTGCTGGGCCTGGGCAGTCTATTGCATTTAAAAAACATCAAAGTTAAAGACTGAGTCACCAACATTATAAAAAAACTGGATTATAAATTCATAAAAAATTATGAGATAAGTTCTGTATGATAAATTAGCCTTTACTTTGAGTGTGTCTTGTAGTGACCCCAGAGATAAAATCTCCTCTTCATCATCTGACTGGGTCACACCCTGGTGGGTGTAATGGGAGCTGTAATTTATGTGATCCTTCAAAGCATTTATCCATTTCTATAAAATAAACATAGGTAATCAAAAATTACACAGCTCAACTCAACAAATGTTATCTTTAATAAGGCACAGACTACATACTCAAACTACACAAATATTCTGGTCGTGTGCATCCCTAGATGCAACAATTATTCAAGTTCAATCTGGTTATCATTTTAAGGTACTTGGGAATGCATTCACTCCAAAACCTTTCTTTTCAATCATCCAGAAAATGTTAAGAAAATTCAGCATCCAAATATGTCTGGTAGGTGCATTCTTAGATACAACATCCATGACAAGTTTGGTCAGCACAGGGTCATATTAACTGGGTACATGTTATGAACGTCTTCAAAAAACATTATTCTGGTTATTATTCCATAAAATTTAGGTCAAACTCGAATCCCAAGCAAGTCTGGTAGCTTTCATCTCTAGATGAATCATCCATGCATGTTGGTCTCGGTAGGGCTTAAAGTTACTTGGGATTGGACCTGCTCCAAAAACTTGAACCTGTTCAGTGATATGGAAAATGTAAATAAAACCCAGCATCTGAATCAAGTCTGGTATCCCTAGTGCATCCCTAGCTGCATCATCCATACAAGTTTGGTCCAGGTATGGCTTATAGATACTGGGGATGAGACCTGCTCCAAAATCCTTTATATGCTCCAATCACATTACCTGGTCATTCATACAGAAAATGCAGTATCTGAAACCTGACTAGTTCAAAATATTAAAACATACTAGATACATCATTAATGCAATTCTACTCCATAAAGGACATAGAAGTTCTTGGAAAGAAATCTGCTCTAAAAACTTTAACTTGGGATACAGATGCTTACACTGAAACAGATGCCAAGGATATTACATAAGCTCTCAAAGTTTGTTGAGGTGGGGGGAGGGAACCTCCTAAATAACTTACATTATGAACAAAACGAACAGTAATCAAGCTCAAAAGTCCTTTGGAACAGTACAAATTAGGAGCAGAACAAACATGGACCTCTAAAAAACATCAGAGGTGGGATCAGGTGCCATGGAGGAGTAAGCATCCCCTGTCGACTGGTCACACCTGCCATGTGCTCCTTGTCATGATTGGGTAAATGGAATAATCTGTAGACAATTCTGTGTGAAAATAATGGGGTACCAATTTTATGAAAAAACATAAGTCAACATTTCACTTAACTATAGATTGTACTGTGAAATTGCTAATCTTTATAGAGGTTTAATTTTCGTTGTGTGAATGAAGAATGAAGAAACCCATGAATTCATGTCCACCTTGAAATGCAAAATGTCATATACATACCTACTCAACAATTAATCAAATCCCCATGAATTCATATATTTTCCTCAAACCACAAAAATTTGACCCCACGAAATTATGCAATTTTACAGTACGAAGAGACCCAGGAATTCATTTCCACCAAAATGTAAAATTATGTAACTATGCAACAATTCTTCAACCACAAAATCAAATTCCCACAAACCCATATTTTCCCTCAAAACCTCGAAAAATTGACCCCGAGAAAATATGTGATTTTACAGTAATTGCAAACAAGGTCATTATATGGACCACAGAATTTGCAAAATGTTGACCATAAATGAGAATTTTGATATCATTGAATCATCAACTTATTTGTCAATTGTTTGCCTTATTTTAGAAATTGTTTGTATGTAGAATATGTTCTTGCATATTAAATCAATTGGGGGACATAAACTCCATATCCTGATGACAATGATATATTACTACATAAATAAGGGAAGTTGATGATAGAAATGTTGAAGTCATCATTTTTTTCATAAAGTTTAGTTGTTAGTTTGCCATTAATGTCTTTCTATAGTAAAATATCCAAATACAAGAGACCCAAGGGCCTTAACGGTCACCTGAGTATAATGTAAAGATCCATAGATTAAAACAAAATAAGCTAATAAATAAAGCTATGTTGCCCAAAAGCAAGAGAAATAGGATGATCAGGGATCAGCAAAATATTAATTTAGTACTCAATAACAAATCTTAAAGTTGATCTATTTATTTGCCTGTACTTTCCCCCATTTGTCACTATCCTCGTGCAGCCTAAACAAAACAATAGTTCTAGAGCACTATTAGTTAACACATTTCATTCCCCCTCACATTGGCCCTCTTAGTCTTTGAAGATTATTTATTGTACAAAGACACAGAATTTTTGTCCCATTTTCATTTATCTATTATTTAAAAGTTTACGTGACCATTAAAAACTAAGAAAGTACTTCTGTATTAAATATTATAAAATGTCTTGTATAATTTTGTTATTCAACTGACCTTTTAAGGTCAAGATCTAGTAAATGAAAGGTGCCTACAGATTTCTTAAACTTGAGAAATAAATTCCTTTAATAATGCTTTATTACTTTTAATAAGCTTAGTCAAATAAGGTGTTTCGGGGCATAATTTGTAGGTAAACAAGACTAAAAATTGTATTTTAAACTGTTATTTTCAATGAGATATTGAGAAAATCAGTTATGAATATGGGAGTTTTTTCCATATCAGACAAAGGAAATGTATCCAGATTGCCTACAGTCTGTCAGAAAACAGTAATGTATATGTTCTTAGCCTCTTCTTTAAAATAATGTTAAATTAAATATAGGTATCGGGATTACTTTTTACATGATTTCAAATTGAATTCCATGAAAATACTTTATTTTCTACACAATTCTATTAGAGACGTAAAGTACGGGAAAAAGAGAGTTTAAAATGATTATGACGTCATAATGGACCTAGCACCAAAAAGACAGTCTAAAGTCATTTACTAGATCTTGACCTTAAGTTACATTATTTACAGTGATTAACTATTATAGATGAATAGCAAAGGGGAATAACTTCTTTCAGTAGAAATTAATAACTTGACCAAAGGGTACAAAATTTCAAAATCTGGTAAAAACACCCTTGCTTATTACAACTTTATTTACTCTATTTGCCTTCTAGATGCCCAGGAGCAGAGAAGAAGATTTTCAAGGAAATAATTCATTTTCACTATAGATTCAATATTGCCCCACCCTAATACCAAAGCCCCTGACCCAGGGGCAAAGACATTTGCAATTTTGGAAGAGGCATTCTTGTTCATCATAACCATGCACTCAGTTTATCTGCTTAATTCCATGGAGCACAGAAGATTTTCAAAGAATAAATGCAATTTCACTATATAATCAATAGAGCCCTGCCCTAACACCAGAACCCCTGACCAAGGGGCCAAGATATTCACAATTTTGGAAGAGGTGCCCTTTTCATCATAACAATATACTTGGTTTATCTGCTTAATACCTAGAAGCAGAGGCGATGATTTTCAAAGAATATATGCAATTTCGCTATATAATCAATAGAGCCCCCCTCCCGCAGAACCCCTAATCCTGGGGTCACAAATTTCACAATTTTGTAAGACACCCTTGATCATAATAACCGTGCACCTAGTTTATCTGCTTTATGCACAGGGGGAGAGAAGTTTTTCATAGAATTTATGTATTTTACTATTTGATCAATAGGGCCCTGCCCTAACCCCAAACCCCTGACCCAGGGGCCAAGATATTCACAATTTTGAAAAGATGCCACTGCTCATCATAACTATATACTTGGTTTATCTGCAAAATACCTAGGAGGAGAGAAGAATATTTTCAAAGAAATAATGCAATTTCACCATATAATCAATAGAGCCCCCCCCCCCCCCTCCTCCCAGAACCTCTCACCCAAGGGTCACAAACTTTTAAAGAGGCACCCTTGATCATCATAACCATGCACTTAGTTTATCTAGTTTATCTGCTTTATATACAGGGGGAGAGAATATTTTTAAAGAATTTATGCATTTTCACTGACCCTGACCCTAGGGCCATGGATTTCACAATTTTGGTAGGGGCTCAATGCTTATTACAGTTATGCCAACAGTTTGACTGCTTGATGTCCAGGAGTAAAGAAGATGATTTTTAAAGATAGCACTAATTTTGATGTTTTAGCCCCACCCCTCAGGCCCCTGGGGTTGGGGCAAGGACCATGAAATTCACAAATTTTGTCCCCCATTACCCACAGATGCCATATGCTAAAATTGGCTGAAATTGGTTCAGTGGTTTCAGAGAAGAACCTGAAAATATTAAAATGTAAACACATGACACACGATGGACTTCAGGCAAAGATGGACAAAAACGGATAGCAATAGGTCACCTGAGTGACTCAGGTGACCTAAAAATAGACGTGTCATACTCTGTGATGTATTTTATTTCAAGTTCAAACAGACATATTGAATCAATGTAGGAATGAAAACGAATATTGATAATTGATAAAACGTCATTAATATATTTAAAAGTCAAAGTAAATATCCTCTATCTGTTGAAAAAACATCAAAACTTGTAGTGAATATCTTCCATCCATTGAACAAACATTACCAACTTCAAAACTTGTAGTGATTATCTTCTATCCATTGAACAAACATTACCAACATCAAAACTTGTAGTGAATATCTTCTATCTATTGAACAAACATTACCAACTTCAAAACTTGTAGTGAATATCTTCCATCCATTGAACAAACATTACCAACTTCAAAACTTGTAGTGATTATCTTCTATCCATTGAACAAACATTACCAACTTCAAAACTTGTAGTGATTATCTTCCATCCATTGAACAAACATCACTACTTCAAGACTTGTTGTGAATATCTTCTTTCCATTGAAGAAACATGCATTACCAACTTCAAAACTTGTAGTGAATATCTTCTATCCATTGAACAATCATTACCAACTTCAGAACTTATAGTGAATATCTTCTAACCATTGAACAAACATTACCAACATCAAAACTTGTAGTGAATATCTTCTATCAATTGAACAAACATTACCAACTTCAAAACTTGTAGTGAATATCTTCTGTCCATTGAACAAACATAACCAACTTCAAAACTGGTAGTGATTATCTTGTCCTGTAGTGATGTATGAGTGATGACAAGTATTACCTACATCTTAACTTGGAGTGATTTTTGCTTTCTGTTTGTTTAACATTATAATCGTGTCTTTTTACCTGTCGTGCAATTTCCTGTTCTCCCTCCCCTGTACTAAATGTGTGCTGGATGCCGTCAGAGTACTTCAGGATAAACTCACAATTGTTGTTTTCTGACTTCTTTGGCAACTGTAAAAATAAGTTTGAATGATTTACATGCAACTTTTTCTTTATTTTATCACATCCTAAATTATAAGAAATCTTATTATTTGAAACAAAATAGTGAAAACATTAAAATAGGAATTATTAAAATCAATCACTGACATCAAACAGTCAAAGTTGCTTCAATAAAACAATAATTTGCAATATCCATTTAAGAATTCAGTACTCTGTATAGTCTAATTCATTACAAGTAGGTATGTTTGTGATGTTCAATGAAGAGCTAAGTCATTGTATCTACCAACATAAAGTACATGTAATCGTATCTACCAATATTACAGTTCCATCCAAGTATCTCATTCCTTTTCTTCTGGTCCCTGTGCTGGCATCCCCTCTAGATTATCAAAAAATTCACAGAAAGTGTACATGACTCAAAGTTTAAAACTAATGCATCTTGCTGTTCTAAACAAGTAACGATTAATTAATATAATTACTGGTAATTTTGCATAAAATCACTACTTATTTAACTTTGATTTAAACTATATTCAGTGATATTGAATGCAGTTTTTCTACTTTGAAACCCATAAATTGTGAGGGTAGAAATACCCTAACTGTATACCCTTAGATAGAAATAGAAATTATTTTAAATAATTAAATTAACAGAAAAAAAAATAAATAAATAAAATAAAAGAGATAAATAAATAAATTAAAAAATTAAAAATTAAAAAAAATTTTTTACAGGATATATTGAACTAAAAATGACTTGATATATTGTTCTGTTTATATGCATTGAAATTCAGGTAATTTATTCATACAGGTAAGTCTACCTGTACCCCTTAGAGGGCCCCTTAATTGGGTGTGATAATTAGATGTTGATTTTGGCAAGTAGCCATTCGGGAAATAAGCCCTTTATTTCCCCTAAGTTACAATATCTGTTGATGTCAAAGTTTAATAATTGATACAGTATTAAGGTCTACCAGATGGCCAATTCCCCGAACGGCTACTCGCCAAATCCTAAATTTACATATCGTATGACCCTTAACCTTTTGATTAGTGGCTATAATAACCCTTTGATAGCTCTTTTTGAAAAAAATCAAAAAAAAAATTTACATAAGATTTTTACTTAAGTTTCAATATAAAATCTTAAGTGCTTTTCCTGCACACATTTATTTGGTAACTGATGAACTTAAAGGTTAATTACCTGCAGTAACATTTTATTTTTTGATATGTTGACGATCAAGCTAAAATAAAACTGGGGAAAAAGCATTGATATCTATGTGTAATGCAAACTATCATGCAAGTCAGTTGCTTGATCACATCATGAAACCAAAAAATTAGACAGATATTCCTTAATTTTAGTAATTTAACATTATATGCTTAGTAATATTTACAATATCAATAACAACCATTCTTTTATAAATTTGATTGTTTATTTTCATTGTCAGTCTAATTCTATTTGTGCTTTTGCTCTTCCCACCCTTTTACATATATCTGATTCAAACAAACATTATTTAACTTTATATTCAATACATCTTCCTTATATAAACATTATTAATTATTTTGAAATATATCTCAAAAATGTATAGAAAGTACCTTGGCATTTACAGAGCTATATCAGACAAAACTGTAAATGCCCAGGATCTGCTTTTATGTTTGTGACATTACAATGAAATACGGAGATAACGAACAGTATTCAAGCTTGAAGTCCATCAAAACGATACAATTTGGAAGCACAGCAAACACAGACCTCCAAAAACATCAGAGGTGGGATCAGGTGCCATGGAGGAGTGAGCATCCCCTGTTAACTGGTCACACTCACCGTGTGCTCCTTGTCATGATCGGTAAATAACAGAAAAATCTGTCAACAATTCAGTGTGTAAATAATGGCCTAACAATTAGTATGAAAAATGTCAGTCAGCACATGACTTAATGATGATTGTATTTGCTGACAAGGTCATTGTATCAACCATAGAACTTTTGAAATGATGACTTTAAACGAGACTGTTGATATTCTTGTTTCATCAAGTTGTTTGTCAATAACTTACCTTGTTTTAGAAATTGTTCATACATAAAGCATGCTCTTGCGTATCGAATCAAATGAGAGATATACATCCCATATGCAGGTGATAAGGGTATACTGCTGCATAAGTAAGGGAAATTGACAATTGAAAAGTTAAAGTCATTTCGTTTATCATAAAGCTTTGTTGTTGGATTACCATTAATGTCTCATCTCTCCATTCTTAATGATATTACATACATGTACCATTTGACGTCACAAATATCCATTGAACTGGGAGTTACTAAATAAATGCTGTAAGGATGTTTATGACCAGACATTCAAAGAAATTCCGTTGATATGAAGCAAAAAAAAATATTACTACTACTAAAATATACAAGAGACCCAAGGGCCTTGAATCGCTCTTCTGATAAATTTTATAAATTGTCATTTCTATTTGAAACCTCTAAGTATCCTGTTTATTTAGACAATTCCAAAAGTAGGTCATCATGACAAACATTTTGGTTAAAACACTTTTCAGTTGACATACTCTGGGGACCCAAGATGCATCAACTGACAAAGTTGGGTGATTCTAAGCCAATAAGTACCTGAAATATTTAAATTTAGCCATAAAATTTCAAAAGTAAAATCATGCCTCTAAAACAATTTGAAAATGAATGCCTGCAAAATTCAAAAAGTAGGTCACTGTGACCTATTTTTTCAAAAATATGTTTTAGGCTCCAAGATGCATCAACTTACTTGGTTGATGATTCTAAACCTCTCAGTGTCTGAAAAAATGACCTTAAAAATTTGGAAAAAGATAAGCCAAATAAATCAAAAAGTAGGTCACAGCGACCTACTTTTCAGATGACATACTTTGAGGACTCAAGATGCATCAACTGACAAAGTATGATGATTCTAAGCCAATAAGTACCTAATATATATAATATAGCCATAAAATTTCAAAAGTAGGTCACAGTGACCTACATTTCAGTCAACTTACTCTGAGGACCCAAGATGCATCAACTGACAAAGTTTGATGATTCTAAGCTAATTAGTACCTGAAATATTTAATTAAAGCCATAAATTTTCAAAAGTAGGTCACAGTGACTTACTTTTCAGTTAATCTACTCTGAGGACCCGAAATGCATCAACTGACAAAGTTTGATGATTCGAAGCTAATTAGTACCCGAAATATTTCATTATAGCCATATAAATTGAAAAGTAGCTCAAGATAACCTACTTTTCAGTAGACCTACTCTGAAGACCCAAGATGCATCAACTGACAAAGTTTGATGATTCTAAGCAAATTAGTACCCAAAATATTTAATTATATTCATATAAATTGAAAAGTAGGTCAAGGTGACCTACTTTTCAGTTGACCTACTCCGAGGACCCAAGATACATCAACTGACAAATTTTGATGATTCTAAGCCAAATAGTACCTGAAGAATATTAAATACAGCAATAAAATTTCAAAAGTAGGTCAAGGTGACCTACTTTTCAGATGTCATACTCCAAGGACCAAAGATGCATCAACTGTCAAAGTTTGATGATTCTAAGCCAATCAATACCTGAAAAAATTTAATTAGCGCCATAAATTTTCAAAAGTAGGTCACGGTGCCCTACTTTTCAGTCAACTTGCTCCGAATACCCAAGATGCATCACCAGATAAAGTTTGATGATTCTAAGCCAATTAGTACCCGAAATATTTAATTCTAGTCATATTAATTGAAAAGTAGGTCATGGTGACCTTCTTTTCAGTCGACCTACTCCGAGGACCCAAGATACATCAAATGACAAATTTTGATGATTCTAAGCCAAATAGTACCCTAAAAATATTTAGATATAGCCATAATATTTAAAAGTAGGTCACGGTGACCTACTTTTGAGTTGACGTTTTTTGAGGACCCAAGATGCATCAACTTACAAAGTTTTATAATCATAGGCCTTAAAATGTCCAAATTATGCTTCTAAAATGCTTTGAAATTGAATGCCTGCAAAGTTCAAAAAGTAGGTCACTGTGACCTACTTTTTAATAAATATGTTTTATGGCCCCAAGATGTATCATCTTACAAGATTTAATTATTCTAAACCTTTCAGTATTCGAATTAATGACCTTAATTGTTTTGAAAAAGATTAGCCATAAAATTCGAAAAAGGAGGTCAAGGTGACCTACTTTTAAGTTGACATACTCCGAGGACCCAAGATGCATCAACTGACAAAGTTTGATGATCACAGGCCTTTAATTGTTCAAAATATGCCTCTAAATCATTTTGAAAAAGAATGGCCGCAAAATTTAAAAAGTAGGTCATCTAGGTCATCGTGACCTACTTTTGAGTCAACATGATAGGAGGTGCTTAGATGCATCAACTGGCAAGATTTGATGATCCTAGTCCTTAAAGTAAGCAAGTTGATGCTTACCAGTACTTTTGTTTCTATTTTCCTAATTATCTCCTCTTGTTTAAGGGTCACAACCCTAGTTTTAGTATAAAAGGAAGCCCTTGGGCCAAGGATACCATGTGACAAATTTGACAATAATTGGCCAAGGGGTTCTTGAGTTATGGCCCATATTCTAAAAAGTTTACGCACACTGCACACCGCACAAATGGCCATAGCATTAGCTCTTTGAGCCTTTGGCTCAGAAGAGCTAAAAAGTACGTCACTGTGACCTACTTTTGAGTCAGTATGATATGAGGTCCTAAGATGCATCAACTAACAAAATTTGATGATCCTAGTTCCATTAGTAAGCAAAATATCAACTATTTAACAAAACATAATTTTTGGTCAACTTTGAAGTGACCTTGAGACCATGCCCTTTGCCCCAGGGTGATGCCTTTAACAATTTTTAATCTAAAACACGTCCTTACTCTTGTTTGCAAGTTTGTTGATAATTTGCCCAGTGGTTCTTGAGAAGAAGATTTTTTAGCAACCAGTACCTTTGTTTTTATATTTTCCTAACTATTTCTCCTTGTTTAAGGGCCACTTCCCTAGTTTTAGTATAAATGAGAGCCCTTTGGCCAAGGATACTCTGTGACAAATTTGACAAAAATTGGCCAAGGGGTTCTTGAGATATAGCCCATGTTCTAAAAAGTTTAAGCACACTGCACAAATGGCCATAGCATTAGCTCTTTGAGCCTTTGGCTCAGAAGAGCTAAAAATACTAAAATATGTAAGAAAACTAAAAATTATTGTCTTAATATTGGAAATATGCCCATGCACCCTCAGTTTAACTCTTTGCATAGATGTGGACCTCCCATGCTCCATCCACTTTACCGTGCAAAGATCTCAAGCAGGAATATTTCCCAATATTCAGTCAACCTATAAATATCAGTAAAAACCATTCTTCAACTCAACTCAAAATTGACCCTCGGGATCGCTGAAATTCTAAACGCTGC